GAAATGCTAAGCGGAGCATAAGCATGAAAACGAGCGAAAAAAAATCACAAAAACCTGACCCATTTATCAAAGTTCCTACTTTGAACAGTTCAAAACAAAAACATATTCAAAATCTGACTCCAAAAATGTCTATCACGCTATACACACTGCTCAAAATTATCTCATGGTCACACGTTATTTATATCGTGACCACTCGATAATAATCTGTGGCCACAAGATTATTTTTTGTATTCAATGTCATTGGACGGGCACCGCGAGGATGCCTTTCCTGATGTAATCTGSGCTTAAACCCAACGCTTCAGGATTATACGTCTGCAGCACTGACCACATCCACCACAGCCCAGTTGGTGGCCTCATTAGTCTGCTTAAAAGAGTAAAAACAATCCTGTTTACAACATAAAATTAAAAAATGCACATTCACTCACAGCTGACCACTAATTTAACTCCAGCTTCAGAAAACTTAGTTATGCGAAGAATGGCRACAAGAACCAAAACGCAAACTAAAGTCAGTAATTAGTGATCAGCTTCTTATTAAATKAACCACAGCTCTTGCTGAGCTCTGCTTTCTGCACAGATTGTTTCTGCCACCAGATGTTTTGAGTGGGAATCGTGAATCGCGAGCACAATTTCTAAAAAAAAAACCAAAACACAAATAGGTCAAAAAAAGCTTTTGCGCATAGCTGCACGCCGAAAGTAGCGAATTCGAGGAGGCTTCGGTCGATAAACAGAAACCGAGTGGGCCCTGTCTGAACTACCTGCGTGTGATTAACAACCGAGGTGAGAGGAGGGAGCAGCGGCGCAGGAATCATGCCGGAGTGAGAACGGAGAGGGACGGAGATGGAGCGGTGAAAGTTAAAAACACGAGGATGACGAGTTAGCGAGGGGGATATCTGCAAGGCTGGAAATGGACTCTGAGTGGCACTGCTGTTTGTGGACATTCGAGCCTCCTGTTTAACCTTTTGTCACGCGCGCTCGTCGCATCCACRGCCTCCGTGGTCACGGCAAGACCAAGACTGGCTGGGGTTGCTATGGCAACATCCCACCATAGCGGTAATTACAATTAACATCCCATCTAAATGACCACCTCTCCCTCCTCACCCCCTCTGTCTCTTGGGTAATTATAGACTTCGGCTCAGCTCACCCAAGCTCTGTGGTTGGCCTTCTTACATTTTACTGCTAAATAATCCCATCTGGAAACAAAAGAGACTCAAAAAGATTCCTTTTTTCTTCTTCCTGGAGGCTAAAAAGGCTGTTTCATTATATTAATGTAGCGACGTTCTCATCAGCATTTAAATCAATATGCGCTGCACATTTGTGCAATGAACTGTTGAGGGAAACAGTTTTTTTCTGTTCATGAAGCCAGCCCCGTGATGACTGCGACTTTATTACATTATGTTTAGATGCTGCATTATTCAAACAGGAGTTTTCGCTGGATAAATATGAACTGCGCAAAGTGCTGCACCTGCAGATTGAAAGAGCAGTTCCTGGGCTCGGTTACAAGGGTATGCAATGCCACAACCACTCCTCTCTTTGTCAAAGAGAGCAGAGAACAAAATACAAAAAAAATAAATAAAGAGTGAAGAAGGAAGGTTGTATGTGCTACAATAGCACAGAAAGCAATATACCCTTGCTGTTTTGGCCCAGGCTGAAAAGTGGCTGTGTCAAATAGCACTCTGTCATGGTGTCACAACCCTTGCAGCAGGAAATCGAGACAAAGGGAGTGAGAGGGATACAGCGGGAGCGACGAGGAAAACGAGAACACAGCAGAGCAACAAATTAATTCACGGGTTAAATCCATCTGCTGAATTGTTTTAAAATGAAAACAAATGACAAAAATATATTTTTAGCATAAGTTACACTCAAAGCAACATTGGTGCATGTACTATTTTTGGATTAATTAATTAATTTTTCTATGGGTACAAACCTATTCTGAACAATTACAGCGAGGAACACGGCTGCTATTCAGTCACCCCGAACAATGACAAAAGAAAGGACTTTTTTTTTTCCCTCTTCTCATTTGTTTTTGCGATTATCACAGCCTCGTTCAGACCTTCACCTGCCCATTTACACATGTAAATACTGACAAAAAGTGACCAAGTACTCACCATCATTGTTCAATAAGTTGGTGTTCTGAATGGAAGGGAGCTTCTGTGGTGTTGTGGGATAGTCCGGCAGCTTGATGCCTGTATAAAAAGGTAATTTAAAGAAAAAAAGCATTCTCATTTTAGAGTTAAAATGTCTAATTAAAAAGTAACTATTTTTGAAACTGGAACTAATCAATAGAAAACCCTTACCTGTGACAATGACTTCTTCATCCGGGGAAGGTAATTCTGCAAAATAAGTTCAAACATTTATTTCTGAAGTTTCAGGCCCTATTTCTAWTACTAGATTCAAAATATATAAATCACCTGAATATGACAGACATACCACTTACAAAACCCTCCGGAGCCGCCTTTTTAGTTCGATTCCTTTTAGTCTTTGTTGCCACTTCCTCATCCTCTTCATCATCATCATCATCATCATCATCATCATCATCATCATCATCACCATCATCATCATCACCATCATCTCCACCATCATCACCATCATCATCATCATCATCACCATCATCATCATCATCATCATCTTCTGCTTGACTGGGCAGGTTATAATTTTCACATTGCTGACGCTTAACTGACAGTGAGATAATTCAGAAAAAAAGGTGTCAATATTTTTGATTAGGACATAAATTTCATTTAAAATGTATCTAAACTAGCCTGAAGTTGTTTTTATCTTGATTAATGGAAACATCATCCAGTCATCACCAGGGTTGATTTTTGTCCTTTATCGCCCGTTGGATTTTTGTCGTGCTCGTATTATTTGGCCACCTTCTCATGTTCTTGCTCCTGTCAATCCAATTGATGGCACTTCATTTCATTTCATTTCATTTCATTTCATTTCACTCTTCAGCAGCAACATGAGGTGTCAGGACTGATGTTGGGACAGTCACCAGTTTTTTCAAAATCGGATGGAGGAGTCAGGCTCGTCCTGATGGGCTATTCCAGTCAAGTCTGGTAAGTTTGATCATCTCTGGTCTGGAGGCATCACAGAAAAAGCAGAGGAAAGAACTAAAAAGGCAACATGTTTGCTCTGTTTTTGGAAATAGTGGTTCCATTTATCTTCCAATCCACTGGAGTTTTACTTGTAAAATAATCTCTTTAAATTGTACGTGTGTGTAAAATTTATTGACAATTTCTTCATATTTATATACACAGTACTCTGGCTACTGGCAGGCAGAAACTTTTAAAACTTACCTTTTAATTCATTCAGAAGTGGTTGCTGAGAAAACAAACTAAAAAACCTTTTTTACAGCTCAGATATGTTTTGTGTTATTCTGACGTGCATAACAGAAAAACATTGTCTACACTCTACTGAACAGAATGACACTTTCATTTTTAGAATGTTCTCTTATTATTTTATTTAAAAAGCCAAAAATCAATATGGAGAAGAGGACATCAGCAGCACAATATTAAATAAACTTGTTCGTCAGCCGTTTTGCTGCTTCATGTAACCTAAGTTTCATTTGACAACCGCAGAAAAGAAGCACTTTTTCCAACTGACTGGTCGACTTGACTAAGTAACTGTTCTTTATGCAGCTCCTGGAAAATATACAATTATTCCTTGTTGCAGACTTCATGAGTTAGTTTGCAGACCGATTCAGACTTCCCAGGGAAATTGAAAGGTTTAATGTCTGGAACGTGTTTTACAACCTTTAAAAGGATCCCCGATTAGTTGTAACATTAGACTTTATTTGATAAACATATATTTTAACTGTAAAATAAAGACTGTAAACTGTTTAGTAATGTAAATTTTTAAAAATATGTTTTAACATGGACAGAGCCATTTTATTTAAACCCAAAGCATTCTGGGTAAATGATGACGTGGATAGGTCCTCGGTGTGAGCGAGCTATATCC